TGTGGTATTTTACAAAAAAACAACACAAAAATCACACCTCGTTTAATTTTTCAACAGTTTAAATTTAACATTATTATTGATATAAAAATATCAAACACTATAAATTCAATATATCTGTTTCCTCTAACAAAATATACACATAAATAATCAATTTTAGATTTACAATTTATTATTTAAAATGTGAATGTCTTTATTATTTTCCATTTAACTATCACAATTTTAAAATTTTCACACTTTATACTATTTAATTTTGATCACATTCATTATTACGCGTCACTCATAAAATATACACTTAAAACAATATTATTTTGCATTTAATTAACCATAAATTATTATAGCGTAAATTAAATCATGAATTTCATCCTCAATAATTTATAATTTCATAATGTAGAACAAAATAATTTTCTCTAAACTATAATAATTATGTATAAATTTATATAAATAATATGTAACCTTTAACAACATACCTACATACTTTCTATTGCAAATCTTAATATACTTCTATTATCGATAGCTACATATCCAATATAATATACATAAAATGTCTCAATTTCAAAAAATAATCATTACATTTTGTATATAATATGTATGTGTGTATGTACAAGGAGGAAGAAAACAAGAAAATCACTTGATTTTCATATTGCATATATGATTTTATACATACATAACATAATATAACCGTAACCACAATAAATCTAAAGAAAATTACCATAATCGTAGAACAAAAAAAAAAATAACCGACATTATCATTATTATCTTCATCAACATTGTTTTGATGACACATAAAGTCTGGTTATTATCATTAAAAACGGAAATTAAAACATGTTTCACTGTTTTTTTTTCACTGTGTAGTTAATTTTACACAGAGAGAAAAAAACATATCGCACATATCAAGTATATACCGTCTTTATTTAAGTATCCAAATTGCACGCATATTTTCTGTACTATAATGTTAACTATACTCATATAATGTATATGTATGTATGTATAAGTAGTATAAATGTAAAATATTGTAATTAAGTAGATAGATTCAAATAAAGTTTTAGTTTTCCTTATTAGCATTGAAATATAAATTAAGAACAGAGAAATAAAACATGAAAACGTTGAATAACTTTAACTTGTATGATTAAAATCATAGACAATAATAAAAACTTGTTCATATGCTTTTCCACATACACACATATATATGTACATTACATATACATTTACTTGGTTATTTAAGTATTTTGTATATAAGATTCTCAAAAATTCATAGAGTAAAATGTGGAAAATCTTTGGTTTTAATTTATTTTTAGTTCTTTTTATAGAACTAATATTCCTCCGGTTTGTGTTTCCGTAACACATATCTCATAGTATATGTGTATGTTGTATGTATATTATTGTATAATAGAACAAGAAAAAAGGAAATTTTATTATAAAAGTTTGTTTTGTCTTATTTTACTTATATTTTTTTTTTGCCTCTTAAATGAAAAAACTCTCTGTATATATACGATAAATTGTTAGAATTATAAAATCCGACGGTATCTAAGGGAGAATTTACTTAAATATTATAATATGTACGTATGATGCATAATCCACATACATACTATAAATGAATGTAGGTGAACATATTATTTTTTTGTTCTTGTTATATTTATGATCCACGTCTAAATGTAAATACATAAGTATACTCGAGCATTAAATTGAACCCATGAATTGAAATATCCACCCAAGTTATACCAGTTATGTTTAGTACGGTTTGGTTTGAGATGAACTAAAAATATATAAAGAGCAATCAGAAATAAAACAAAAAAAAAAAAAACAATTTTGTTTTTGTATATGCACAGTTAACTTCCTCTTCATGTCTATGAAGACGAAGATTTATGAGAGTTAGAAAGGTATGTTACATTAACTATTATTTTTATTATAGTATACTTATGTAGATAGTTTTTAGGATTACCATACAATATGTTAACTGCCACATATACTTCCGTTTATATACATACTTACGATCTTGTAAATATTAACAGTTATATAATTTTATAATAAGCTAATACATAATAATGTTTTTGAAATAATAATGTTAGCTATTTATTTACCGTAAATTTTTGTATCTCTACGAACGTATACTCGAAGAATTTATTATAAAATTTACCATTCAGTTTGCAATACTGAGAATTAAAGGCTTGAGGTATAGACATGATTGGTTGTTTGACGTGGCCGGTGCAGCAGGCTCACCGCCCCCTAATTAGAACAAGTGTGCCGTTTTGTTACCACTGCTACGTGATTACCAGGAAGTCATTGAGCATACGATTACAAGTGGCCTATCTAAGCCAACTAGATCTCTTGAGAAATCTATCCGAATCTCTGATGCTAATCTTCCACATCTCGTATAGTCCCGTATAGGCTGATGTCAGGCAGCAAATGTCCCCCTGAGGCGTCATCAGGATAGAGACATATACATACATTTTTGCTCAGTACCGAATTTTAAGTTGATATAGCCATGTATATATTTATGCATTCGTCTGTCTGTCCTAGCGATAATTCGAAAAGTGACTTAACAAGGCTCAAAAATTTTACACAAATGCTAGAATTCTACTTAAATTGGATGTGATCGGAACCAGAGGATCAAGTAACTGCTATTCAACTTAAAAAGTTATTTATCCATACCATAAAAAATGGTTCAAGGTGCAATATTCAAATTTCGCACAAAAAAATATTTATAAATATCTCACAGTTGACAAGATCATCTTTACCCTATACTCACGTTATTATTAATTTTACATGAATATTTTGTATTAAAACACAAGTTCGCTTTTATATGCAATTTGTATCAAGTTTGTAGGTACACAGTGAACGTAATACTAAATAAAAAAATTTAAAATCTAGATATGAGTGATGGTTTCATACCATGTACATATAATACACTTAATAAGTACATAAAGGAAAATAAATAATATTATAATTACATAAAAAGTAAATGTGAAAAAAAAACTTAAAAGGAGAAGCAACAAAAAACATCCTGCGAAATTTTCCTTTATTTTTTTTTATTTTTATTCATCTTTGTAATTTATTTTTTTTTTAACATTATTCATAGTTTCCATTAAAAAAAAAAATTTATTAAAATATAATTGCAATTCATATAATTATATTTAAAAAAAACGAAATAATTGCAATTTATTTATTGTATAATTTGTAATTATTTTCTAGAAACACTCTACTAAATTAAAATCTTCCTTGAAGTTTCATGTTACTTTTCAATCTAGGTCTACATATTTTAATTATCTTTGTAAAATTAACCAAAGACTTTTTGTTTCCTTTATGCGTATTTCATTTTAATAAAGAATTTCATGCAATTTGTAAATTAACTTTAATATTAATAACTACTTGTACTATGTGTGTGTATTATGCAAATGTATGTGATCCAAAACTAATATTGTGAAAGAAAATAACTCTTGAGTTGAGATTCTAAAGAAGAAAATTTTTAATATTTGTAGATTTTCATCCTGACTTGAAAACACCCTTGAGAATTACTCAATAACTTATCGGATAACTCGGATAACTTACGAAATTATATGGTAAGATGAAAGTATAAGAATAAGAAATTTGCGCCTAATTTTATGCAATTTGAAAATATTTTTACTTTCATCATGTCATAAATAATTTCTTTTCTACATTTTTTTTTTTAAATCAAAATGTCAAAAGCAAAATATTTTATAAATCAAAAATTTTTACATCTAAGCAATTAAAAATTCAAAATAAAATTTTGATTTCTTTCGAATTTCATTTAAAAATTTCAAAATTCTTATTCAATATTCAAAATATTATGATTTTCGACAAAATATGTAAAAAAACGTCCCCATTTGAAAATGGTAAATATTCTTTAGAAATTGTATTCGATATTCCAGAAAATTTCACAGTTAAACAATTGTCAGAACTCGCTTTAATTGCTGTCAATCGAAAAATTCAATTGGATGTAAGAAAATGGCACAATGAGTTAATCCAAGTTCGTAATGAGATTTCAATTCTACAAACGCTCCTTTATGCAAAAAAACAACAAGAAGAAATTTTAAAACAAAAGTTAGACATTAATGATGGTTACAGTTACACTAACATAACAGGTTTTATTAAAAGAATTTTTACTCAATTTGGTATGAGTTTATTTTATATAAAAAATTATTTTATAAATTTGATGACGTCATCGATAGTAATTTCAATTGATAATGTAAAGAATTGTAATCTTATAACATCAACTGTTACTAAGATTCAAAGTACTTTATTAGAAAGAGAGAAAACATATGAATCAGCAATTGAGAAATATATTTTCAATGATTCAGAATCAGATATAAGCATTAAAGGTTTTCCATTATCACCACGGCATATTTATTTAGATGATGTCTTAGAAGATGATCAATTTAAAGAATCTAAAGTTTAATATTATTGTTGAATAGAAATAGGAGTGGAGGAATATCTGAAAAATATAAATTTTTTGTCAGAGAAGTAAGGGTCTTACAATTTTTGTCATTGCATTTTGGAATAAAAAATAAAATATACGGAAATAACATAATAAATAATATGAAAAATCATTCAGAAGATAGTTTGAAGTAAATCTATCAAGTATAAAATTATTGAACACGAAACTTATAATGCACCCGACCCGATAATGATGGCGCATTGCTAGAAAAGGAGACGCTAACATGGGGTATTCGCCAAAACAACAGATTTTCATTTAAAACTTACCGATACGAACTAGAAATTTAAACAAATTTTCATTCTTAAAGCCTTATGGGGTAACTCTGCTTTCCTAAAAATAAATTGGGGACACGAACATTGTACCAGGACAATTTTGAATGGCAATCTACATTATTTAAAACCTTTATTCCTTGTTTTAAATTTTTTCACAATATTGGTGAGGGAGCGATTTTTAAACTGATGTTTTCAATGAAATGATGAATTTTTTCGAAACCCTTCTAAAACCATTTGTTTTAAACGTGTATTTAATTATAATGCCGATCTTATACTTAATTCCAATTCGGATTTGCATGCAGTAAATAATTTACATCTACTCCAGATTTTAATTCTCCAGCTTTTTCAAATTCTAGTTGTCAAGAAAGCAAGTACATAAACAACAAACAGCCCGCGTTGCATATAATTATAAACGCATATATTTGACAGTATACAAGCTTATAAGCGATCTTTAAGCCATAAAATTTTTACCTATTTCAGGTATTTAGTTACAATTTAAAAAGCAATCATGAAAAGAAAGTCGTAAAGTTTTCACAAAAAATTGTATATACAAATTTTTAGTTTTACTTTATTCGAATGTAATTTTGAATTTTATAGCTAGTGTAGCTATTATACACAATTATTATTTTTAAAAACATTGCGTACTTACAGGTGCAAGTTTGTTAGCTGAATGAATTTCTAGTTGAATGAATAAAAAATTAATCAGTTGTGTATACAAATTTCTAAAATTCAAAATACATTCAAACTTTAATTTTACTGAAATAACAGTAAATAAATATAAATCAAAGATCATTTTCCACCAAATTATACTACAGCCATAATATTATAGAACCTTAATTTCAAATTGTAACAATTTAGGAGAAGATTTTAATTAAAAAAAAAAAAGAAAACACAAGAAAAAAAGGCGAAATCGAAATTGGTTCAGTAATTTAAATCAATAGCCCAGTTTAATAATTTCCAGCATCCATTTTGAGTACTTATCAAAGCAATTTACACTAAATTATCATTATTTTTCTATTCACTTTCTTCAGACAATAATAACTTCATTCCAAAAACTTAAAAAGAAAAACCTTTTTCCTTATATTATTGTACATTTATTTTTCTTATTCTTCTTTTCTCCTACATTTTAAATGTCCTTTATTCTTAAAACTATCTTAACAATTATTTTTTCTATTTCTTAACTATTTTTTATACCGCACATATATAAAATGGGTTAAAATAAAAAAGAAAGAAAAAAAAAATAGAAATGGCAAAAAAAAGGAGTAATCATTTTTTCATTTTATTATTCCCGTTTTTTCTTATTCTTCTTCTTCAATTCAATTCTTATTACAAATTCTCCTCCTTCTCATAAATTTTGATGCCCTTCTTGACTTAACAATAAAAGAAGTAAAATAAATGAAAAGCAAACCAAACTATTCTATATATATATATATATATACACTATGTATATACACTAGTAATATTTAGAATGAGTAGATGAAAATAATGAATATGTATATGGATAATCGCTTCAAAGAAAATTTTATAAGATTCTACAATGTAGGTTCCTAGACAATCATATAAAAGAAAATAAGAGAGTAATGATAAGTTAACTTTTGTTTTCTTCCAATTCTTTTCCATATATAAGAATGGTTGGTCATCATACAAATCTCATCTTCTATTTTTTTCTCGGTTTTATTTATCCTGATTTCTATAAATAATAAGAGAAAAAAAACTTGAATAAAAGCAATTTTTGTAATTTACAGCAGTAAAGACTCCAGGCAACAATTGTGTTTTTTTTTCATACATTACAGAGAAAATGTGTAGTAAAGAAGGACACTAAAGATAGACCTCATGTGGAGAAACATTTTTCTATAAAATCTTTTTGTTTTTTATTTTAGTTCTAATTTATTTTTTTTTACTTTTCAACTTATAATTTTGATTGTTAACAAAAAAATATTAAAGAATCATGAAATTAATTTTTCTTTTTGGTATAGCAATAATTGTTGGTATTTTATTTAGTATTAAATTTAGATTTTGGTGTAGGTACATAATACGAGTAAGGGACAAAATTTGTCTTCAATATCAGCTGCAATAATAGAAATTAAATTTTCTGAGTATAGTAATTTTTAAAATACTATAAAAATGAGGCATTTTCTAAAACACTTTAGGGAGGAAAGGGATAAATAGCATTTTGAATTAAATAACATTTTTTGAAAAATTGAACAATTTTCATATTTCTTCACCTTAACCTGAAATTAGCTCCAATATCTACGAAAATTAAGTTATTGTGTAACTGGACGAAGGCATTACATTCCTTTTTTTTTTTCTAAATTGAAAATTTTTATGAATTTTTATCTGTAATCCAAAACATTATAATGCAAACTTCAATTCAAATGAGTAAAATTTTGCTTTAAATTTTTAATTGTCCATAAAAATAATTTGAACCATTTTATTCCAATAAGACAAACTTAAGGTATAATGATTGCCCAATACAATACGCACTTTAATAAACGAAATACTAAAATTTAAAATTTAAATTAAAAAAATAATAAAATAAATTAGTGAGGGAAATTTTAGAATTCTAAATAAAAAATACTCCAATTATTAAAACAAGACCCTTCCGAAAAGCAAATGTCTAATATTATAGCAGACATTTTTGCATTTTGACAATTTCTAAAGAGAGGAAAGACAGGCCAAGAGAATAAAGAGCATAGAAATACCTCTTTCATTATCGCGTATTTGTTAATAATTTTAATGGGAATAGCAATCGTTATACAAAAAAAAAAAAACAAAAAAACAAAAAATAAAAAACTATATAAGAGAATGGTGGATGCATTTGAAAAATTCGTCTTAATTGCTTTTATAAGAATTTCTTCCTTACATAAGTAATTTCTTTCTTTTTTTTTCTAATCTTTCAGGGAAATTTTTTCTTCTTGTCCTTTTCTTATTATAGAGGAAAGTTATGAGATTTTTATAGCGAAGAGGATTTTAATTATTCTTGTATTATTTTATTTTTTATTTGTGTAGAATCCTTAAAATTTCAGTTTTGTTTTTTTTTTTTTTTGAAAAGAAATATAAAGAATTTCGGAAAATATTTTAATATCCCAAATTAAAATAATAAATTCAACATGAAGTGATGATTTTCTTTTAAGAAGAAAAAAATTTTCGCTTAATTAAGAAAAAAAAAGTTAAGAAGAATTTTTGTTGCATAAGCAATAAGTTTAAGTATAGTAGTGAATTTTGGAGTAGCAACAAAAATTTCTAAAAAATTGTATTCAATTTTTCTTTATAATTAATATAAAAATAATTTGAATAGTTTCGTTTTTTAAGGGCAGTATAATTATCGCAAAATTTTACATTTTCGACTTTTTAATATGAAATTTTGTTGAAAAAAATTAAAGGGTTTTTGATGGTCTACAACAAATAATTTTTAAGTGTCTTTTTGTAAAACTTGTCATTGATAACAATTAATTTTTAAATAGCTCAGATTCCAGAATTCAAGAATTAAAGATTTTAGTATATCTCGAAATTAATAATGGTTATCGAAGAGTTTAAATGGGGTGCTCAGCACCTTAACGGCCTATGCAATATTCTTGCAAAAATGAGTTATTATGTTCAATAGCGTTGTAATGGCCTAAATAATTTTTCTTTATTTTCAAAATACTTAGTTTAGTTTTCTTTTCACTCTATTTTGACGTACTCGTAAATTCGCTTGTGCCTGTGTTAAAATATTTCTTGAAATGTCATTTTTGCAAGTAGGCCACTAATGTGCTGAGCGCCTCAAATAAGAATACCTAATATAAATCGTAATAGTGAATTTCTTATTGATTTTATGAATTTTAAATTAGGATATATCAAAGATAAATTATAAATAGAGCTCGCGTATATAACGTAATTTTTTACTTCTTGAACCTATTGAAATTGCAAACAAGAGTAGCCATGAAAATTTGTGCTCCTATCAAATTCAAAATCAAAATTTTCTGCATTTTAATTTTTATTCTTACTTTAATTTCAAAGCATTTTAAATAAATTTGCGAATTATACAACAGATCAAACCAAAAAACAAAAACAAAAAAAATTAATGAAAAACAAAACCCATAATGAATAGCTGTTGATCACAACACCCAACAACATTAAAATTCTTCATTTTATTCATTTTAATGATGGTTCAAATTATAAAAAAAAAAAGTCCCTAAAAATATGCAAATTTTATGAATTAATAATAAATTGTTTGTATTTTTCTTTAGAAAAAGGAATTGTTCCCTATCGCTCTACCACTCTAGAACTAGTGGAATATTAGTTCACATAGACCCTTGATCGATGTAAATCTTAATACATAAATTTATAAACTATCGAACATAATATTCATTTTAAAAATTTTGGATTTACGAACTTCGGTGTCTATCAGTTTATTTTCAGGAAATAAATGTTCTAGTTTTCAGAGTGAGAGTACTCTGAAAGTAATAACGTAACGTATAGGGGCATTTAATATTTTCCGCATTGATATTCAATTATCTAACTCTGATAATTACTGATATTCAGTAATCTTTTCACGTCAATTGCGGTCAATTTAAATTTAAATTTAATAAACGAAATTTAAATTTTAAAAAATAATTTGTGAAATGATCAGGTGTGTTTAGATTTAGAACACTTCAAATTCTAAGTACAGTGGAAGTTCTTTTTAAATTATAAAGGAAGAAAAAGCAAATTTTGTCCTTAATTTTCTTGATATTCAATTCAGGTGCTTCAATAATATACTAGCTCGAAACCTCAAACAAAATGACCTAAACTCTTAATTTCTTAAATTTTCAATAAAACTTATTTTTCAAAAATATGATATAAATTTATATCATATTTGCAAACATTTCCCTACAGAAGTTCCTTACAGTCTTGAATCATCCAAATTTTATATCCAAATCTCATATTAATAAATTTTTTTTTTAATTTTAAAGGATTTCGCGTGCCTTTCATTGGCCAGGAAATTGAACAATAAATTATTTGTAGTTTTGTTTAAAGGATTCACATTACTTTTGATTTTAATACTATAAAATGCTCCTTTACAAAATACGAGAACTCCTTTTAAATTAAGGTCAGTAAATTATTAAGAAATCCTAACCTTTTTGTTACGTTTAAAAGTTTAGGTCAGGTCTATTTCATGTATAATTCAAAAAATCTTTTTAAGCAAAATAAAAATGTTTTTTTTTTTTTAAATTCTCCTTAATTTCAATGTGAAATTAAATAGCAATACAAAACATTTTCAACTTCTTAAGAGAATATAAAACGTACACACAATTCAACCAACTTTTAATGTAATATAAGGTCTGATGCCGACACGTGTTGATTAATATAAGTGCAACTATACAACTTAAT